ATGGAATGTCACCTTGCTTGTTTCACTGAACATTACCAGCCTCTACTGTTAAACTATAGTTAGCCATAACCGCACCAATGTTCTTTTCCTGTAACTTCCTGTTCTGGAGAATAAATGCAGGGCGAGAACCCCAGTTCGTGGTTAATTTCCCAAGGAAGGAATGCCTCGCTCTTGAGGGTTCCAGGAAATTAATCCCTTCGGAGTCTCTCACTGCTCAGAAGAGATGGGCTTTGAGTAATCCTTTTGTGACTCTGTCACCCAGGGGAAGAGAGGTGACAAATCCGTGGGAAGCAAAGCAACAAAGGTTCAGTTCCCACAGCCGCCCCTCCCTGCCAGAACCTCCCACCCCTGCCAGAGCCTCCTGAGTCCTCCTCCAGGCACACCCCTGCTGTTCTTGAGCTCAGTATCCTGTTTGTTTCCTTCCCAGCCCTTATCACAAACTGTAATTCCATTTTTGTGTACTTTTTCTGTCTCCATCTCTCCCAGCTCCCCTCCAGACAGCAAATGCCAAGGGGGCAGAGGTCATATTGTCTTTGCTATGGTGTGAACGTTTGTGTCCCTGCAGAGTTCACATGTTGAAATCCTAACCCCCAAAGTGATGGTATTAGGAGGTAGGACCTTTGGGAGGTGATGAGGTCATGAGGATGGAGCCTTATAAAAGAGGCTTGTGTGAGCCTGTTTGCCCCTTCCACCATGTGAGGACACAAAGAAGGCACTTTCTATGAGGAATGGGCTCTCAACAGACACGGAATCTGCTGGTGCCTTGATCTTGGACTTCCAGCCTCTAGAACTGTGAGCAATAAATTTCTGTTGTTTGTAAATTACCTAGTGTAAGGTATTTTATTATAGCAGGCTGAATGGACTAAGACAGTCTTGATTGCTACTGAATCCACAGTGCCTGCTTCTGGCATACAGTAAGTGCTAAATAAATATTTGTTGAATGATGGATGTTTAGGAAAATTGAAGTAATAGAAAGTAATAGAAAGTCAGGACTTTATGTGGAGCCAGTCCCATGTTTTCTGAGGGGTGATTTTAAACCTCTACCTCAATGAGACAGTTTCTGGAATGCCCAGCAAAGCTCCCCGAGCCTGGAAGGGATGGTCAGGGTGAACAGCCACTGGACTAATGCCCTGGCTCTCCTGCTCTTGTGGGATTCTGGGAGACATGCAAACAGAAACAGCTCCCCCTGCAGGATTCTATCCTTGAGTATGGAAAGGCCATGAGGACCCCTGAAGATGGGGCATGTCCACAGGGCAGGATTCTAGTCTGGTGCTTAATCTGAAGAGGAAAGAGGGTGAGGACTCTCCTCGTGCAATTACTGCATGGGAATGGCACAGGGAGAGGAAACAGCCATGTTGCCATCCGTCAGGTGCAGCCTGGCTTCAGCCAATGCTTGTCCCTCTTTCCCAGCTGTCTCCACGGATTGAGCCTGCGGGCTGTGCTCTGTGAGGGGAGCAGATGGTGGGTGAATCCCTGAATGGCTGGAGCTGCCCATTTCTCTGGGGAACTGCACGGTTAGGAGAGGAAACAGTTACTTCTCGCAAGGTTCAAATCTCTTCCATGAGTGTGTTTATTTAAGAGGTGGTTTGGAATGTGACGATGACATTCAGGGGTGCACACACAGGGATCCTGAGTGCACATGCATGTCAACTCCCATCTTACGGCTGACGGCACCCATGCAGCCCTGGGTCTCTCCACTGATGCTTTGGCCACAAAGTAGACAAATGATGTTCAAAGAGTGGTGAACGTGTCCAAAATTCTCCATGGTTTTTCCCTGGGGTTTAGGATTTTACTTCAACCAAGGGAACTGAGTGGTTTAAGTGAGCATCTTCAGTTAACCTCTTATTGAATAGCAGCTTCTAAGTAAAAGTAAATATTCCCTTGGAGAAAAAGTTTTGTTCCAAAATTCCTTCCTAGACATTTATTTACCGTAACGAAGTCAACACGCTTTACTGCTAGAATCTAACAGTTGTGTGCACATCAGAGCTGACTTCTGACTGGCACAGGCCAAATGGATCTCTTAGCGCAGGTCGGGCTTTCTGAGGGTAACGTTCAGATTTTTGCTCTTTATTAGATATGTGCATATAGTTCTCCTCCAAAAGAAGGGGATATTTTAAAAGTTCCATGTTATTGAGGTAATGTGGACTCTGGCTAAGGAACAGCAAAGAATGTGAGAGTTATTCGGAGAGGGTGGCAGAATGCGTGGCCTGGGTGAGAGCCTGTGCCACTGGTGCATGCAGAGGCCAAGCCCCGCCACCCGGCGCCCATCCCCCCCCTACCAGTTCTCCCCTTCTTTGTCCGTACACCAGTCACCAGTCTAGATGTCTGCATTTTTAGGCTAACTAAAACAAGGAGGGCAAGTTTGCTCAGACTGGCAATGAATTTGAATGGGAAACCAGTGACCATCTATTTAAAGTAAGAAAGAGTCCTGTAAGGTCAAATCTGTTTTATTGGATGAAGTTTTAGCAGTGCAATGGTATTCTTTTTCATAAGAAAATTGACAAATCCTACACAGGGGACAAAGAAATTCGACACAGCAGTTTAAGGAGATGTTCTTAGCAAAAACCAAGCCAAGAAGGTAAGTGGCTTCTCCCTGAAGGCAATTTTTCTCATCTGATCTCTTTTCACAGCTCATTAGTTCTCTGGGAATCAGAAAAAGGTGTATCCCAATTACCCTGTGCAGGAGAACTTTGCTGGCGGACGGAAGCAAAAGCTCTAAAGCACATGAATCCACTATCTGGAGAGGTGGGGCTGCCCTTGCTCCCGCAGCATGAGCCCAGTGAATCGCCAGAGACACAGGTGTTCATGTGGGACGGTGGCCCCCCGTGTTTGTTTGGGAGGTGCTCTGCACCAAGGCCTGCCTCTTATTATTATCTGTGGTCTTGAGCAAACTAATGAACCTCTCTGAACCCAGCTGTCTCACTGGTAATGAGGGTTACTAAGAGCTTCCCTGCAGTATTTTGAGAATCAAGTGCAGGCATCCAGGCCAAGCTCTTAACGTGCACATAACAGGTGCTCAGTCAGTGCTACATGTGCAGAGATGTCTTCAGGGCATCATCTTAGAAGACAACGAGCAACTTGTTTTTTGGCAACTTCAGTACAAGCAATTTCAGTTTCTATGGTTCTTGCCTTCCACGAGACATATGGCTGAGGCGTGCTGGAAGGCAGGGCATGGGATAGTGAGCCTGGACGAAGGTGCCCAGATGTCACAGATCATAACTGGGAGGGTGCTTCCTATAGGCAGGGTCCCTTCTCCTACATCAAGGTCAACTGCTCGAGCTAGAATCCCAGCAGCAGAAGGAAAGGATGAGAAGTGTTCCCTATCATGCAGGGGAACAGTAAGGGCAGTGTCTGCAGAGGATAATCACGGGCAATGTCGGTTTTGCCCGGGCCTGGGAACAGATTCTTTGGGCCATGGTCTCAACACCTGTTAGGTGTCAAGAGGAGAACAAATAGGAACTTTTCTTCTTCTGAGTTCCCGGAGGCTTCTCCGTTACAGAGAACGTTTCCAGAGAGGAAGGACATGGTAGTTAAGACAGAAAATTGGCTCTCCAAACTTTCAGGCTCTGACAAGTGAGATACTGCTGGGGGATTTGGAGATGCCAAAGACCACGAGAATTACCAGTGATTCCATCTGAAAGCCTGGCTCAGACTCTTTGGCCATCAGAAGTGAGGGTGCAGCCTCAGAGCTGTGCAGGTAAGGACTCTGACCTCCAAGTGGTTTTCATGCAGGAGCAAGGTGACCCACTATAACCCTGGCCATTATCAGACTCTGCATTTAATAAGTCCATGTTTATTCAAGAATTTCCAGAAAACGATTTGAAGAGCTTTTCAAACTTTAGTTGGCCCAACTGGTCACCAAGAAGAGGACTTCCTTGGGATATGAAGGGTGGTCTTCTTGTGTGTACATTTCCACCATAGAAAGCAGAATAGGCACATCGGGATTAGTACCTTACTAATCCCAGAATACGTTGACTCTGGCTCATCAGGGAACTTTAGAATAGGACTGTATTGATCCCTTCCTCTTCCCTAGACTCCGGCTTCTACGTTGGCTGGGAGGTGTGATCTG